AAAAAAAAAAAGAAAAGAAGAGGCTGAACGTGAGGTCAAGTCAAGTTCAACGATTCAGTTGTCTGCGAAAGTATTTAGTAGCCCAGGAAAAAACTATCGGAAATTCCTCTAAAGAATTGATTGAGTAAAAAGGTTACTGATTTAGAGTGTCTCATAGGTCACCATTAAATAAGGCACCCCTGAAATGAATCGTCGGGTTTCGTGAACACACATGTAGTCATGAAGTAAATGATCTTCACTTTGAGCAATAACTGATTGCACGTTATAATGTCTCGATTTTATAAGGTGTGGCAAGAATGACAGTCTTGTCTAAGAAGCTGAAAGCATGGATCAATAAAACTAAGCTCTTTAGACTTATGTATTGAATTTTTATAATGTCGGTAACTCCGTGGTATAACAATATCGAGGATAGCGAAAGGCCTGTTCCATTGTATTCAATCGAAAATCATAATAATCATTTTTATGAATGAGTTACGTAATTTACGAAAGGTAAACCGTCGGCTAGGTAAAATAAGGAACTTACCCTGACAGTTTGTTTGATCTACGGTGAAATAGAACAATCCTGCAAGAAACGCCAGCAGTGTCAGGTCCATCGGTGCGTGAGCACGCTTACTAGTTCGTAGAAAGATCAACTGTTCTTCCAGCGGCTAACTGAGACGGACAATCAAGTCGACCAAACCATGATCCCGATTGCAGTTGAATAAAAAGTATTTAAGCAATGTGTCTCATCGATAAAAACGCTGTCATGGATATTTGATATAGATTGTTCTGACCAATCGGATTTAGCGCATCTCATAGTTTTGTCGTCTGAGGTCGTAGCATATGTGACTGGTATTAACGACTGCTAGCTCAGTAATTATGTAACATGTGCAACGCGTATCATGTGCATTTGTAAAAAACATAATCGAATAAAGGATAAAACAGACAAATACCATAAAGTTGGCATTTATTATTGCAGTGTAGATGAGCACATACACATTGATTAATGGCAATATGCGTGCCACTTTAGTCTGAAGATGCTCTTTCCCCGCATGCTCAATTGCTAATGGGAGTCTTGCTTGCAGAATGTATGGCGATTCTCAAGCTAATCAGCAACTTTACTTGTAGTGATAATAATATAATTTAATGATTTGCTTAAAAAAATCCAAGGTTGAATCCAAAGACTCGTTTTTTATAACATGTTGTTGAACCATGTTAAGAAATCAAGAGGTTATCAAGGTTCCTTTTCGTAACCCTCTCAGGGGTTAAACTTTTTGGCAGACCAAGGCTGATTGTTTCGACTTGAGAGAGAGTTAAATGCGCAAGGTATAGTTGCACTTTAAAATTATAAGATAACTTAAATAACTTTGGAAGACATAGCCAATCGGATACTTAAATTTATCAACAAGTTCTTTATGCAAGGCGGCTTTTGTTGAAAAAAGAAAAAAAATAGATAATACAGAAACTCAATAAGTCTTAAGTTTAACATGCAAGATTTTAAAATTATTTTTTAATTAATTTCTTAAAAGAAGGGGAAAAAAACGTTTGAGTTTCAAAAGTTGTTCATGTAAACGTTTTGCCTTGCAAGAAAAAGGTTTTCAGGGTGTTTTGGGTTTCGTTGGCGAACGCCTTGCAGCTGCAAATGTTAGTTTTAGTATAAAATTGGACAAAGAAAATTTGGTACGTTGTTATACGTTGTTATAGTGTGGTGTAGTGTGGTTGTGTTTTTATGCTATGTTACGTTTCGTTTTTTGTGTTTTTTCGTTAATTGTTTGTTTATTTATTTGTTTGCTTGCTTGTTTTTGCTTTTCCTTGAAAACAGGATTATTTCTTTGAATGCTATATCCCCTCTTTTTCCCATTCAAGGGCACGTGTCATATTCTTAAGAGAAACACGTGCCACCGTCATACTTAAGAGGTTAAAAAAATATACTCAAGGGGACATTTTACACTTCAAAGTATTGTCAACTATCTGATTCTATTCTTGAACGCTAATGTTCTTATCGGTGCCTTTTGATTTTTTAAAGATTATTTTTGGTGCGACAATAAACCGCGATAAAGAAGGATTATCGGGTCATGTTTTCGGTTAGCAATGCATGCCCAATGATAAGTTAACGACGTCATCTTGTCTAGGAAGGGAGTCTGAAAAGCATCGTACKAAAGGAACATATGGATGCTACACGTTCTAACCTTATGAGTTTTCTGGTTAGTTATAATTCACCATAGTTAATGGAGTGGAATGGTTTGGAAACTCCATAGAACAAAGCTATTGTTTTGCCTTTGATGTTGAATCGTACCATCCCCAAAGCAAGTATGGCTGAAAATGCTCATTTCGCACACTTTTTATTAATTAACAAATAATACATATTTTAGAACGATTTTTAAGGGTACAAAACTTACATATTCCCTAATACTGTGAACAAATGGAGAAACTTTTCCTTCACTGTGCACTGTCAACGTCATATAACAATGGATAAAGACGAACAAAAATATAGAACGATAGGTTTCCTAACCATTCCGCTCCATTAACTATGTAATTCACCAGATAAATGACGCAAAGGGTTACTTAATAAACCACTTGCACCTAAAGATAATAAACGTCAAGAAAAGCATGCGCTTCAGCTAGTAAAATATGCAAGTCCAAATCAGTCATAAAATATACCCCAGCTGCACTTAATAAAACCAATGATTACTACCTTGCCAAATTAACCTCATTTGCTGGGTCCGCACAAACATTTATGGACCGAGTTTTTCCTACATATTAATTAACCCAAGCAAAAAAGTTTTGCCTTAAACAGTTTCTCAAATATCTCATTTGCCCGATCTGGTGCATGTATGTAGAATAGAAAATGGCGCAATACAAAAGGAAGTGTTGTTTCACAAATGCAAACAAGATATGGAGAAAAGGGGAAGATCTTCTTGGAATGCACCTACAGCAGGCCCGAAACTGAGATAATGATGAATAAAAATAACCTCGAGTGCCTATAGACCCCTTGCAGCACGTCGGAAGGATGCAGCTCAATTTGGAGAACATGACAATAGGTTTTCAATTCTTTTGAAATTGTAATTCTTTTGCTTTGTCCTCTTTGACGTCTTTGACGTCACATTGAGCATCTTTGACGTCACATGCAAGAGGTCTATTGCAATATTGTTTTTCAAAGCTGGCATTTTCCWAGCCCAACGACTTGCTACGTGGGAAAGAAACGATGATGATGACGACCTGGAAGAAGCATGAATTAAGTTACTGCAATGGAAGGGCTGGCTTTACCTGCCACAAATCTTCCATATTCTTAAGTGAGCGGCTATGTTTATCAATGAATTAATTTATCTATAGCTTGAAATTTTTTTGGCCACTATTACGGAAGACCAAGCACGCATACATTCCGGACAATGACTGCGTTAAAACAAGATCACAACCTTGAGATGAAAACCGTCRTTTATAAATTAAAACCTGGAAATAAGCCAGCTGCAGGTCACATAGCGAGCAACTCTACCAACTCACTTTGGAAGAAGATGCCCTAGCGACCGTCCATGGTGGCCCACCCCAACAAATAATCACCTTGATAGGAAATTTATAATTTAAAAATATCCTTTTTTAATAATAGGGGGCCACGTAAAAAAAAGAAAAAAAAAAAAAAAAAAAAAAAAAAAAAAAAAAGAAACCAGGTTGGGAAGGGGTCATACATTCTTTCACTTACAATTCACAAAATCCTACCAGCCCCTTACCCCCTACCAAACACCGTAAAAAATAAACGACGGTCCCCTAGAAGATGTTTCATTTATGGAATCAAGATTCGGGTTTAGCGGTCGGCTACATTTTACCTCCGGGATCTTGGATTCATTATTTAAGTTTGATATTACTACCTGTGAGTAGAGTTCCCGGTTACGTCTCTCCCTTGCTTCAAGGGTTTCGCGAGTTCTCTTGTTTTCCTCCCTCAGCAAAATCCAACACGCTAATTAATTTAAATCTATTTGGATATATCACTACGGGATGGACAGCCGAAAGCCTAACAGGCTTTACAGCCCAATTGATAAGGCAACCAATTATGTTCAAATAAGAAATTAGACGTTGATTTTTGCTGAGGTAAGACCCTTGAAGCACAGGAGAGAACCAACAAACAACTCACATACGACATCGACACCTAGCGCGGGAATCGAAAACCCGAGTTCGCATTGGTGAAAGGCAGCATGCATTAGGCAGCGCACACCACCTGCGCGTCCCTTTACATGTAAATTGGATTTCCATCTGAAGCTAGCCGTGCCTTGACTTAAATAAGCCATGTAATGACCTTAGGGAATGACACGTAATCTGAAATGGGAAAATGTCGCACCCAAGCTATATAAGGTTCTATTGTGATTGTAATTTTTTTTACATTCAATAGGTTGCTATCAATAGACGTCACTTCCGGTAATAGCTCTTTTTCAGATGGCTTGTTTTCTGGTTTGATGTCGTGAAAATAGTCAAATACAATAGTTTGAGGACTTATTTTGATACGTTTTGACTTAGCATTCGCTAGTTGCCCCCCAGTCAACCGATCGTTTGCCCCCCAGTCAACTCCAAAAAGTCACGTGATTGATAATAAGCATTAAGCATGTGAATGTGATGGATCCTCCTGACTGTGGTGTTTGCACAGGACGACCTTCTAATAGATGTGTGTGTGTGTTTTAATTATTGAAATTAAAAAATCAATATCACAGAGCAATCCAAACTGATTGGCCTTTTGCTCAATTTTTTTTGTAAGCGTCCCTCTCATTCCTGGTAAAACCTTCCTAATAATCACCTCCCTTCAAAAACTCCTAGATCCGCCACGGCATTTTTGCATTGCATTGATATTTACGAATACTACTAGATTTTCAATTTATCGAAATTTCATTTAAACAAAACAAAAAACAAAACAAAAACAAAAAAAACAAAACAAAACAAAACAAAACAAAACAAACAAACAAAAAACGACTCTAGTCATTCCTAAGATTCTTGAGATCTGATGCAAAATTGTTACAATGGCTGTATAAATGTAACGTTATTTTCTTATTCTTTCAACATCAGACAAATATACTTGAAGACAGAGCGTGTGAAGCTGCACGTAAGAAATCAGTAACTTAGGAAATATGTGCCCTGTAGTATTCATTGTTACGTCATCGCGGCCATGTTGGTGCCATTTGAAAAAAAAWATTTCTCTTTAGCATCCATTGGTAATCGCACCAAGACGGACGCAATTTTTTTGACTTTGTTGGAAATGCTTCTTGCA